CTTTCCGAGGATCTAGAGACAATTGTCTACAGAGTACCAGAGGTACAGAGCACAGAGTAAGGTAATCTTGGTTGAATTGGTTGTTAGTACTTCGTATACTATGCTATTTATTATCTGTCAATGCAGTTGAATCTATTTGTTTGTCTGACATTATTGTAGTTCATCACATGGTGGAGAAATGACTCGGAATACACCTTTGCTTGGAAGAAATGATAAAGCGATAAACCTGACCTGACCTATGGGCTCCCTACCTAGTCCGAACGACCTTCGCTTCGAATCAGCAACTATCCTGAGAAGGGAGTGATGCGCAAGAACCGGGAGGTTTCCTCGGTGTCCAGGGTCAGGAAGAACTCCTACAGAACCAAGAACTACCCAGAAGACCTCTAAGAAAATAGGCAACCGGCAAATCATAAATTAGATATGCCATGAACTCCTTCTGCACACCTCGTTGAAGTCCAGAGAGGTTCCAATAAGTTCTGGTCTGTGCTTATACTGAGGATCTCCTCAATCAACAGGATGTGCAACATTAATCCCCACATTCCATGGGAAAAACAGCATGGGGTAAGAACATACCTTAAAGTCTTAAATATTCAGAAACAAAACGCCATGACAAAGTCTATAAACTCAGATACTACAATTAGCTTGCTTGATGCATCCATGGATGTCTCTTATTTATGAGGTGTTTGTAACCCAAAAACAAACAAAGCTCTGGGCCTGTGATCCGCGCGTAAACAATGGAAGAGCAGAAGACAAGCGTTGATTGGCTGGGCGTGGCGTTGTTGTCTGTTGATTGTTGACAGTGTCCACCCGCAACGGGCAGGCGCAAACCATCACCGCACCTTCCTTCCTGAACTGCCGACCGCCTTCCAGACTGACTGTCTTCTTCTTTCTCGCTCTTCTCCTCCTCTTCATCAATACTCTCCCTCTCCTTTCCTTCTGATTGTCAGTCGTCGTCTCAAAACCGACTATCAGGAGTCGTTTTCTCTTCTCCCAAAGTCCGCGTTGAATCACCACCATGCGAGGCGAGGTATGTCCCTCTGGTTTATTTACCCCTTCTCCCCCGCACGCTCGCCCCTCCTGAACCACAGTACTCGGGATCGCCTGATCCGTGTCAACGTCTGCAATATCGACCACGGGCCTCTTTACTACACGGAGATTCTGACGCATCTTATCGCGGTATTCTAGGTTTGCCATCTCCATATTGGCCAGGCTGGTACTCAGCTTGGTAACAGTGCCTGGGAACTGTAAGGACTCACCGCTTTTTCGTTCTGCTGACACTATCGCTCGTGTTGGTCTTTCAGTGCAATTGTTTGGACTAATAGACTTGCTTGTCATGCAGGTACCTGCTAGAACATGGTCTCAAGGCCGACGGTCGTCTCGATCCCGAGGTGCCTGAAACGCACAACAACGGAGGCTCCTTTGAAACCTTCTTCACTGAGACGAACAACGGCAAATACGTTCCTCGTTCTATCTTCGTTGATCTTGACCCATCGGTGCGCTACAACTCAGATCTGAGTGCAGGATCATATGGTAGATGAACATCTACGCTGACTGTAGTAGCCCATTGACGAGATTCGAACTGGCACTTACCGCCAGCTCTTCCACCCCGAACTCTTGATCAGCGGAAAGGAAGATGCCGCCAACAACTGTGAGCCGAAGGTCGGGATCACAAGAAGATTAAGGGCTAACGCATGGCAGATGCCCGTGGTCATTACACCGTTGGCAAGGAACTCGTGGATAGCGTCGTTGATCGAGTTCGTCGCGTTGCCGGTAGGCTCCATCACACGCCGCTGACTCGACAGGGTTTTTCACTAATTTTGAACAGACAACTGCAACTCGTTGCAGGGGTTCTTGATTTTCCACTCCTTTGGCGGTGGTACCGGTTCTGGTTTTGGTGCACTGCTCCTGGAGCGTCTTTCGGCCGAATATGGGAAGAAATCCAAGCTGGAGTTCTCCATCTATCCCTCGCCCCGCGTGTCGACTGCCGTTGTTGAGCCCTACAATGCCGTCTTGTCCACCCACAGCACTATTGAGAACTCGGACTGCACCTTTTTGGTTGACAATGAAGCTGTCTACGATATCTGCCGTCGCAACTTGGACATTCCCCGCCCTGGCTACGAGCACCTGAACCGTCTGATCGCCCAGGTTGTCAGCTCTATCACCTCGAGTCTCCGGTTCGATGGCGCACTCAATGTCGACTTGACTGAATTCCAGACCAATCTGGTGCCATTCCCTCGTATCCACTACCCCCTGATCTCTTATGCGCCTGTAGTTTCGAGCAACCGCAGTTCCCATGAAAGCTTCAAGGTGCAGGATCTTACCTTCCAGTGTATGTGCATCATGTGGTTTTCTCCCCTTCACTAGAAATTCTGGGACAATCACCATAACTGACTTATGCTGCAGGCTTTGAGCCCAACAACCAGATGGTCGTCTGCGATCCTCGCAACGGCAAGTACATGGCGGTTGCCCTTCTGTACCGTGGTGATGTCGTTCCCCGCGACTGCACTCAAGCTGTTGCCGCCCTGAAGGCAAAGGCATCCTTCAACCTGGTCGAATGGTGCCCCACCGGCTTCAAGCTGGGTATCAACTACCAGAAGCCAGTGCGTGTTCCTGGCAGCGAGCTGGCTCCCGTCGACCGCTCCGTCAGCATGCTGTCCAATACCACTTCCATCGCCGAGGCGTGGGGCCGTCTCGATCACAAGTTCGACCTCATGTACTCGAAGCGTGCCTTTGTGCACTGGTATGTGGGTGAAGGTATGGAGGAGGGCGAGTTCTCCGAAGCTCGTGAGGACCTGGCTGCCCTGGAGAAGGACTATGAGGAGGTGGCCAATGATGGTATGGAGCCTGAGGAAGAAGGAGTCGAGTACTAAATCGTCCTTTCTTTGTCCGCTCGCCATCATTCGATGACTCCACTTCATGTATCTCTTTTCACTTGCAAAGCCCTGACTGTATTCCATCCTTCTGCTTGCGACAACCCCTCTTGTTAATGCTTTTTCTAGCGTTGATCTCCAGTCTTTGAGCTTTTTCCTGTAGAAGAAAAAAAAGAAATAGGCAGATATCGTCAAGTGTTAGAATATTCAGTATGCCACTTTTGTCTATGGTTGTGAGGACGATACGGGCTCAAACAAGAACTATTGTACAGATAGATAATATTACAGATGGATCGTTTCATCGGGTCATTCGGCCACGTGGAACTCGCGGAGGACCTTTAGAGATCGCTCGTAAGTCCACATGGTGATGGCACTCGCAGGTGCGGCCTTGATCAAACTCACCGTCAGACCCCGGTAGAGGCCTCGGACACCCTGAGTTCGCACAATCATAGCGATGGTGCTAAATACGCCGCGGTATTCGGGAATATTGCGATGCACATACAGTGTGCGCGTTGGGCCCTGAACCTGGAGTCGCTTTCGCACCAGGTCAAGCGGAAACACTCCGGTCTTGGCCAGAACACTGGCAATGACTCCCGCAGCGGCATCACCGGACCCAAATGGCATGCTCTCCAGCCCGGACAGCACCGGTCTTAACGACTCGTACGTCGCGAAAAACAGTCCCATGTACGGGACGATCTGGCCAACCGCCGCACTGCAACCCCGGAAGAACCCCGCCGGCCCTTCATTCCGCGCAATGTCCTGCACCGATGCCAGCAGCGAGGTGTAGATGCGCTCCGTGCCCTGGGCCGCGAAGCGCGTTCGCAGCAGGTCGAGTGGGTACGTCGACGCCGTGGCCAGGCCGCCGGCTACTGCGCCAGAGACAAATGATTCCAGCGCGGGGGGGAGACGGTGCGGGTCGAGTTGCGCGAGGGCTTGGGTTGTGGTGCGGTAGGCTGTGAATTGCAGGGCGCCGTAGCAGACGTACATGAGTTCGGCGGGGATGTTGCCTTTCCAGAGGCCCTGTTGTCATCATTCATTAGCCTTGCTTTCTTGGTGGTTGGACGATGACGAGGGGAACGGGGAGGGGAGGGAAAGCGAACTGTTATCCCCTCTTGCTTGATGATGGCCCTCATGGTGGAGAGGGTTCCCTTGTATACTGGGCCGATTACATTGCGGTGGGAGGCCGGGTCGGAGAGGGAGTGGATCTGGAGCTGGAGGCGGATCTTGACGACGTCGAGAGGGGCGACGCAGAATCTGTTTTTAGCAAGCGTGGGTGGATTAGCTGCTGCGGGTTCGATTCAGAGCTGTAGAGCCGATAGAAGGCTGGACTCACCGCGAGACCAGCCCGGCGATTCCACCTGCGAGAACGACCTGACGTCGCGTGCCCTTTTCTCGTGTCAGTACTTGGATTGAAGTCTCAAGTGCTTGATGCAGAACGTTGAGGCTGGACGTACCTCATCCTTGAGGTGTTCGCCCCCGGCCGACATGCATGTGATATGTGCAGCAAAGGGCTTGGGCTTAGGCTGGGGCTTGGGCTGTCGGTGTCGGGGGTTTTCGGGGATCGTCAGCGCAGACTTGGTGACGAGGACGCTTTCATCGGATGGGACGAATGATCCTGACTGTGACTTCGTGAGTGTTTGCAGCAATGGATAAAAAAATGTTCTGAGATGGAATTAAGGGCTTGCACTCCGCTGATAAGGTGTGGATGAATCAGGATCTGGGGAGATGGAGACAGGATTATTCTTGTTGGGTAAACAATACGTAAAGGGGACGCTACGAGTCATTTCCATTACTGCTGCTATGCTACTGTTGCTACCTCTCTCTGAGATACTGTCTGGAATTCTGGAATGCTTTGATTGTCAAGATAGGCATTCTTGCTCCATGCCTCGTCCTGCGAATAATTATACCACCAATGGCAGAACGCTGCGAAGGGAAAAGATCTGAAGCTGGTGTGGCTGTTGGTTTGTCTGCTAAGGCGGCAATCCACTAATACGGTCTATAACCTCGGCGTGGAGAATAGCCGCCGCCGCTCCGCATTTGAGGGATTGCATGACATCCTACATCAACATCTCTCCTTTTCCTCCATGCATTGTTCAAGTTCGCGGGTTATCGAAGCATCACTGACGCGCCATGAGCCGGATTCTAGCGCCTCTCGTCCGGCTACCATGGCGGAGTATTCCCCTACGCCCATTCCTCGCTCGACGAAGCTATTCCACCCCATATAGGGAACTGGTGCCGGAGTCGAAGGCAGACCATCGCGTCGTGAACGAAGCTACCGCAAACAATGTCACGGTTGACTATGCTCAAAAATACCTGCGAAAGCCCGCCCCGGAAGGGGTCAGGCTGGCGAAAGACAGGCTGGAGGTCACGGTTGATGGACACAAGCGGGGCTTCAGGTACATGCTCCTGCGTGATGCCTGTAAATGCGATCTCTGCGTGGATGAACATTCGAAACAACGCAATTTCCGCACTACCGATATTCCTCACCGGATTGTTCCTCGGGAAGTTACATGGGATGGCAAGAAGCTGCAGATACAGTGGGCGTTTGATGTCAAGGGATGGAGCATGCACCACGTGTCCACGTATGATGCGCACACTCTCAGAGAAAACAGGGCCAATCCTCCCAGATCGGCTACGGGCCGGTATAGGCCTCGATTTTTGTGGAACAAGTTTATCATGGAGGCGAAGCAGCATTGGGTCTCATACGATGAATACATGAATGACGAAAAAGCATTCGCCAAAGCCATGCGCTATCTATCTCTAATGGGCATCATCTTCGTTAAGGATATCCCCGACTCGCGGGAGATGGTTGAGAAGATTGCAACCCGGCTGGGACCGCTGCGAAACACCTTTTACGGACCGACATGGGATGTCCGCAGCGTCCCCCAGGCGAAAAATGTCGCCTACACCAACGTCTTCCTCGGATTCCACATGGACCTCATGTACATGAACGAGCCGCCGGGCTTCCAGCTGTTACATTGCCTCCAGAACTCATGCGATGGGGGCGAGTCTCTGTTTGTGGACAGCTTCCGAGCTGTATCAGAAATTCGTGACAGATGGCCAGAATCCTTCAAAAAGCTGACCGAGCTGCGCTTGAACTACGAATACAACCACAAGGACCACGTCTACTACAACAGCTGGCCTGTAGTGGAGATGGAAGACGGTGACCCAACGAGACGAGTCGGCCACGTCAACTACTCGCCCCCCTTCCAAGCGCCGATTATCTCGAACGAGCCGATGTACGGCAAGTGGAGAGGTTACATGCGAGCTCTCACAATGTTCACGAATGAAATCGAACGCGAGCGTAATGTCTTCCAGCGCAAGTTGAACCCGGGCGAATGCGTCATCTTCGAGAATCGCCGAATCCTCCACGCCCGTAACAAGTTCAACACCGAACAGGGTCAGCGCTGGCTGGCCGGCGCCTACGTCGACGAGGACGCCGTTCTCTCTACCTTCAGAACGTGCCGTGACGCGGATCCCGAGGGCTGGATTGGAACCCTGGTCAAGACGCCAACTATCCGTGGCTCGAATCTCGTTTCTGAGACCAGTGCGGACGCAGGTGGACAGGCTACCGCCGAGAATAAAGAAATAGCCTAAATCGGAATTTTTATTATAGCGCGGACGCACATTTAGCGACGTGGATTTCACCAACAAGAAGCATCCATCACTTGAGCTTGTGTAATTTCATCATACTCAATTCTGCGGCGAATGGATGCTGTACATATGTAATTGTTCTTGAACACGAGAAAGCATTATATTCATCATTGCTAAATCTCAAAGTCTAACGAAGAGGGAATACATGGGTGAATAAATGGTTTTAAAGGAAGTTTGTATCATGTACCAAGAGTATGCGTCATATCTTCAAGCGGCAGCGGGAGCCTTGTTAACAGAGAACTGGCTCAGGAAATCGGGGTCGTTGTTGATCTCTTCCTTGACCTGTAGCAAATAAATCAGTTAGCAATGGCTTTCCGGTTGCCGGAAGCGATATAAAAGAACATACGATATCTAACCCTCCAACGAGCTCCCCCTCAACCCACAACTGCGGAAATGTGGGCCAGTCCGCAAACTCCTTCAACCCCTGCCTGACGTCCTCATCGGCCAGAATATTGAAGAACCCGTACTTGACGCTCCTCTCCCGCAGGATCCCGACCAACTGACGACTGAACCCGCACTGTGGCGCACTAGGTGTACCCTTCATGAAGAGCATAACCGGCGCAGCCTTCACCAGCTCCGCCAACCGCGCAAACAGCGCCTCCTTGGACTGCTCGGGCGTCAATGCCTGAGCCGAGGGAGCGGGCGGTTGCGTAGCAGCCGCAGGGGCATTCTCACGAGGCGTAGCCGTCAAAGGGGGAGGGATAGCGGTCTGGTTCGCGCCGTCCGCGCCCGCGCCTGATCCGGCGCCCGCGTGCCGCTCCACCGCATCGCGCACCTTGACGGCGTCGCTGCCGCTTATGGACTCGAGGATCTGGCCGTTACGGAGGAGGACGACGTAGGGCACTGCTGTGACGTCGTACTCTTCGGAGATGTCGGGGAGTTCTTCAGCGTTGATGCTCACGAAGGAGATGGTGGGCGGGGTGGTGACGGGGTGCTGGGAGGCGAGGGCGGAGAGAACGGCGTGCATCTGGGCGCAGGGAGCTGCCCATGGCGCATGGAAGTAGAGGACTAGTAAGGTCGAGGGAGGGAGAGAGGAGGTGTGTGCCGAGAAGTCGGCGTCCGAGGTGATTTCGTTGACTGTCGACATGGTGCTTGAGAGACTGATAACCGCGGGGCACGGGCGGGGGGCTTGATTGCGTAGTGGAGTAGATTTTTGATTGACCTTGAACTGAAAGAGTAGCAGCTACAAGACGGAAGACAATCCAAGAGGCTTTTGATGAAGATCAAGGGCACTGAGAAGTAAGATGAAAAAGAAAGAAGACACAATGTCCTCCTCAAGTATACAAGGCGTTGGAGGTGCGGAAGGTCAGAATGCACGAGACCGAAGGCGAATTTTTGGCTTATCAGATCGGCCCAGCCTTACCTTTTCTTACATTCCGTAATTACGGCTTCTGTTTGGTTCTGTCCCGCGGAGAAACCCTGGTAGTTGCGGATCAACCATAGTCCGCTCTGACGCCATCGCAATGAGTCAGCAGATGATATTTTCCTTTGTCAATTGGCTTCGCATGTGGGAATAATAATAATGGATCCCAGGGAGCATTGCAAAAATCAATCAAGGATAGGAAGTACAATGTTAGCTGGGCTTGACGGCATCATTTGAAGCAGGGGTTTTCGTCCGTAAGCAGCTCGGGGACACTATCATCACGTGATGCTGTCCTCAAATTTCCATCTGGGATAGTTATCATCACGTGGTCTCAAAAAGTCCATCCAATCCCTTCTGCTGAGCATTTTCGACATACAACCAGCGAGGAGTTTTCGATGAAACTGCTTTATGCCGAGTTTCGGTTGTGTATAGACTGAGTTTTTCGCATAACGAAGACGAGTGTCCTGTATCATAAGTGTTTGCGACTTGCCAAGCCACCAAATATCTGCCTTTGGCCACCACCAGTCCGGATATGGCTGGAACAAACAAGCGCAAGCGCAGAGAAACCGGATGCGCAGATGACGAGGATCCAGTCAGACCTCTTTCAGATACCACCAATGGCTTTGGAGTAGCCCAAACTCTATCGCTTCTTCTCAGTGCAGAGTCACGAGCAGCAGACGAGAGCGGGACAGCTACTGCAGGTTCTGAAGCGACACTTACAGAAGGAGCCCATGATCAGATCGAAAATGGTCTATCTGTGCAAAGACCCACGAAAAAGAAAAGAGTTGACGGCGGAAAGACGAAATATCCTGTGCTCACCTATGTGGAAGGCCGGCTACAATCTTCCATCCGCATCGCGGATCTCCAAAATCTATTGCTTTACTGTTTCGCGGATGGCATCGCACCTCAGTGGATCTCCATTAAGCATTCGGGTCATGTTAGAAAAATCGTCGTCTTGATGGTTCCCGGTTTGGAGATTGGAATGTTTGACGGGACCCTTCCATTGAAACGTCAACCTGAAGACCATGATGCTCGACCGGCACAAGCTCCCGACGCAGAGCAGAAAGACTCTGATGTGAACATGACGGCTGAAGAGGATGAGCGCAAGGCCGAATTCCTTCGCTGGAAACAAGGCCTTCCGCTGGAAGATCGATCGCACCGATTCAACCCCCGTCCATTAACGCGAGACAATCTTCCGGAACCCTTACGACCACTAGCGGACATGTTTCCACACATCTGGCCCGTCAGGGCCCCGGGAGATTCCAAGTACAACAAGGTTCATTCTCCTCTTCAAGCCATCTTACTTTCTTCCTTACCGAAGAACAAAGACAGTGGGGGCAAGGGCCCCAAACCGCCCAAGGTAGACAAAAGCTACGTCCCCAAGCGTACACCTATCACGGCATTCATCAGCAGTGTCGAAGATCTGCGTGAAAACGAATACGTCCTTCATCCGGCCCTCATGCCAACTGAAAAGGAGAAGTCGGCGTTGGCGGAACATCGCAAAAGAGCTGGCCAGTCCACCGAGGATGGCTGGGTCGATACGCATGTCCCGAGCTTGAAAGCGGGACAAGTTCCTGAGAATGAAATTCAACAGGGCAGTGTAACAGCCGGTCGCGATATACTGGCATTGGATTGTGAGATGTGCATCACAGAAGGTGGTAAATCAGAACTTACACGCATCAGCTTGGTACGGTGGGATGGTGAAGTGGTATTGGATGAGCTTGTGAAGCCAGAGTTGCCCATCATCGACTACCTGACCCGGTTTTCTGGGATCACGAAAGAGAAATTGGATCCTGTCACTACCACCCTCGCCGACATCCAGCAGAAGCTGCTCACTATTCTCACTCCGCGCTCGGTGCTGGTTGGCCACTCGCTCAATTCCGACCTGAATGCTCTCAAGCTTACCCACCCCTTCATCGTTGACACCGCGATCATCTATCCGCACCCCCGCGGACCGCCACTCAAATGCAGCTTGAAATGGCTCACTCAGAAATATCTCGGGAAGGAAATCCAAAAGGGCCAGACCGGCCATGACTCCGTGGAGGACGCCCGTGCCGTGCTGGAGCTGGTGAAGCAAAAATGCGAAAAGGGCGAGCGATGGGGCACAAGCGATGCCTCAAACGAAAGCATCTTCCGGCGCCTTGGACGTTCCCCGCGCCCAGGAAAAGCAACCACACCTGGCGAAGGCCGTACAGGAGCCGTCGTGGACTGGGGCAACCCCGAGCGCGGATTCGGGTCGCAGGCGACCGTCGCGATCGGGTGCCAGAATGACGACGAAGTCGTTGAAGGCGTCTCCTCCGTCGTGAAAGGCGATACCAACAACCCGTCTATTCCAGGCGGTGGAGTGGATTTCACCTGGGCCCGAATGCGCGAACTTGAGGTTCTCCGCGGATGGTGCAATCGTCTACCCGACCCGAACAACGCCAACGAGTCCACGACGTTGGTCCCTCCGCCCGAAGAAACCACCCCGACGGGTTCGGGTACAGCCGAGCCTGCTGCTGCTGCTGCTGCTGCTCAGAATGCCCTGTCAGATACAGTAGCCCGCACAGTCTCCAACATCCGGCGCATCTACGAATCCCTTCCACCTTGCACCCTGTTCATGGTATATTCGGGCACCGGGGACCCACGTGAAGTCAGCCGCCTGCAGGCCATGCACAAGACTTTCCGGGAGGAGTTCAACTCGCGCAAACCCTGGGATGAGTTGACCGTCAAATGGACGGATGCGGAGGAACAAGCGTTGAAGAAGGCCTGCGAAAGGGCCAGGGAGGGCTGTGGGTTTATGTGTGTCAAATAGAGAATTCCCTCGTCGGGCTTGTTTTTGTCTTGCATATACGGCCTTCCTTGTTGTGTATCGTTGGTTTATAGAAGGATCTAAGTCAGGATACCCAAGAGACTTGGTTGAGGTTGATGAAAGATAGATTGATTACATGATATGAACATTCCCATTCGCCAACACTCTGCAATTATGGTAGGGATATTATGGGCTTGTTTATCATTCTGCATCTTGAATGGTTGCCTAGAAGTACATGGTATGAATTGCACCCTACTATATCACCGGCCCTCTTCAGTCTCCATTGCTTCCTCGCGTTGCATTGCCAAGCGCGCCATCAAATCTCGCGCTGCTACCTGCGCCTTTCGTCTCTCGTCATCATTGTTAATACTTGGAGCCTTTACATTCGTTGATGCTGGCAGATTCTCCTTGGTGGAGTCCGTCTCATGACTCTGGGGTTGACTACCTCCTTCCTTGTTCGAGTGCTGGGAAACTTCCTCCGTGGCCAATGACAGACTCCCTTCTGATGTGTTTTGATCTCCGTTCATCGGTTGGGAAATTCCATTGCCAGACTGGCGCGCTGAAGGGGGTCGCGATCGACTGCGCAAGGTTCGCGAACGAGTAGAACCCCGTTGCCTGGCCTCCGGTGCTTCGCTTGGACTCGTGTTCAATGGCACTTGTTCAGTTTGACTACCTGTGCCAACGTTGACACTTTGTTCGCTCAACGGCGTCTGTTTGGGTGTCTGGGAAAACTCCGGCTGAGCAGACTGGCTGAATGATTTACGCGGTCGTCCTGGCTTTCTCCTCTCGGTGTTCCCGCTGGATGAAGGCCGGTCAGTGGGATTGGATATACGAGGCCGCTTGACCACAGCGGGCTGTTGCGTGTCCACAGTTGTGGCTTGGGCGTCTTCGATCATGTTGTCATAGTGTGGCGTATGTTGTCGCGATCGAGTGACCTCAATGCGAAGTCTAGGCGACTCAGGCGGTATCTGATGGCGCGATGAATCGGTTATGGCACGAACAGGCTCAGGTTCCTTCAAGGGAATTTTGACTGATTGCACATGCATATCCGCAAGAGAAAAGTCGCCGAATGTGTCATCTTCCTCCTCTTCGAATGAGTCCGCAATGGGCTCGGTGCGACCACTTGGGAATGAGTCGGGCCAGGGCCGTTTCCTACTAGCTTGAAGTAGCCCAGGACTCCGAACTTCTGGCATTGCGGTCGATTCCACGCCCAAAGTTGCAGTAGGGTGCCTTGTTGTCTGCTCCTCCATGTATCGATTCTTCAACTTAAGAGCCTGGATCTCCAACTTCAACGTCTCGATTTCTTCGGCTTTCGATTTGAGTTCCTTCAACACCGTCCTGATCATATCAAAATCGCTTCCGTGAGGACCAGAAATGTCAGAGGAAAGGCGCCCAGGACCATTCAACTCTATCCGAAGCGCTGTGAAGGAATGTTTCAATTCCGACATGGTATCATGTAGGTTGTTAACGGAGTTGGAGATGTGATCAATGATGACACCTTGATGCTGAATCTGCTGTTCCATCGACATAGGATCCCTGTCGACCTCGTGAGGACCGGTAGATATTAAAGCGCGACTGGTGGTGGACTCTTTCGGAGTCGGACGGATCAGACGTTCGAGGGAGCCGTTGAAAAGGGGTTCAACCGTGCGCATGGTGACGATCTCTCTGAATGAGACCTTGGATAGCTTCCAGAAGATATTGGGACTGGAGCCCGGTTAGAAGGCGCACTTGCGCATGACCTTGCTCTTTGACTTTCGTACTCACCCATCGTCTAAAGCACACAGAACTCCCAGTTTCTGCTGACATAGCTTGCAAGCGATTTCTTGTAGGATACGACCTCGCAAGAGGCTCATTTCAGAATTCTGTGGCACCTGCTTCTTCTCCGTTGAGATCGAAATCCGGTGTAGTTCGACGCTCAGCCATCCTGCAGCGACGGCATAAGAGTTGGACAGCTTTGCCCACTCATTTTCGAGCGCGGCGAGGGAGCTCGAACAGCGTGAACACTGGCAGAGAATAGCGGGACGAGCGAGTTTGGACAGATCCATTCTGAAAATCACATTCAGCACAAGAACTGGTGAGTGTCGAAGACAAAAGATTGGCAAGCCCACTTCCGGCCTTGTAGTAGAATGCCCACAGCGATCTCGAATGCTGAGTAAGTCGTTCCACTGACACGCTGGCGGGTCCAGCTATTCCACTTTCGGTTATCGATAAGGGTCGCACGCGTTTGCGGCGTTTCACTTTCGTCATGGCGTTTTTAGTCATAACGGTCAATTGGACATGCAATGGATCCAACTAGCGGTTATATTACGGAGAGATATTTACTCCAATACCGTTCGAACTTATTTTGAACTTTACAGTACGGGGACTCTAGAGCACAAGAGATAAAAGTTGACCCCGCACGCTGCTGGTTCTTTCTGCCGTGTCCGAGTGGGCGGGCACCGAATTAGGGAGGGCCATTCTCCAAAAGGCAGGTCGTAAGTCGCAGGGCAACTCCGCATGGCTGCTTATCGGTTGGACTAAAGCTGGAGCAGCTTCAATAAAAAGGCCTCAGATCCTTCTTGATGAACGCCGCTCTTCGCATTCTACGCTGGCAACTGCTTGCCTTCAGGCCATATTCTCCCGCTCAAAGGTTTGGACGCAATCGAGTATTAGCCATGGCGAGCACTTCAGCGTGTCTCAGTGGGACCAATGGCAGAATCAGTAGTTGGCAAGGCGCCGGTGCAGCGGAATTCGACTTGCGAAGTGAGTTCATTGCAGTGCAGTGGAAGACACAAGGAACTAATATGGAAGCACACCCAAGGCGACACGATGACCAAGCCTACCCCATCGATGCTCGAAGCAATTTGTCAGACGACCTTGTTGGACGACGTTTTTGAGGAGGATCCTGTGACAAATGACCTCCAAGCCTATGTCGCCGAACGGACCAACCATCAGAGCGCCTTACTTGTCATGTCGGGGACCATGGGCAACCAAGTTGCGATTCGGACACATCTCGTGCAGCCTCCCTACTCCGTTCTCTGTGATCATCGCTCTCACATCGTGCGCTACGAGGCCGGAGGTGTCAGCTCTCTGACCGGGGCCATGGTACAACCCATTGTGCCTAGTAACGGTATACATCTTACTCTGGAGGACATTCAAAAGCATGCGGTGCTCGCCGAAGACGTACATTACTGTCCGACAAAGCTTATCAGCTTGGAGAATACCTTAGATGGCATGGTGATGCCTCTGGCCGAAGCTCGTCGGATCGCAGAATGGGCTCATCAGAACGGAGTCAAGGTACATTTGGACGGCGCGAGGCTCTGGGAAGCAGTCGTTTCTGGAGCCGGCAGCTTGCCAGAATATGCTGGCCTGTTTGACAGTGTGAGTCTGTGCTTCTCCAAAGGCTTGGGCGCACCAATCGGGAGTATCATCGTCGGATCCAATGAATTCATTAAGAAGGCTCGTTGGTTTAGGAAATCCATCGGTGGCGGCGTTCGTCAAGCTGGAGTTATTGCTGCCGCTGCAAGGGTGGCCCTCGAGGAGACTTTCGGACCAGATCCGAACGGTCAGAAGGGTAAGCTTCGAGAAACTCACATCAATGCCAAGAGAATCGCCGAGATGTGGACTGCCCGTGGCGGCAAATTACAACATCCAGTACATACAAACATGGTATGGCTGGATCTTGAATCCTCTGGTGTAGGTCCCAATGACCTAGCAGAGATCGGAAAGGAGATGGGTCTCAAATTACTCGGAGGCCGAATCGTTGTGCATTACCGTGAGTCCCATGCAGTACCCAAGCAGCATGTGGTTAGTAGTTTCTGACTAGTCACAGAGGTTTCCGAAAGAGCGCTCAGCAGACTGGAGCAGGCTTTCGATCGCGCTCTGAGTGGCGAATACCAGCGCAGCACAGATCAAAGTAAACCTTATGGAATGAAGTAGTGATAGAATCTCAGATACTTCTTTTCTGAATAATGCCTTAAGATCAGCACTCTTTAAATCCTGCTTGTCGTAACCTAAAGACCTGTAAACACAGGGTTGATCAGTCATATTGATGTTCCATGGATGACTCCAGCCGCCAAACCAGGATGCAGTCCCATTGGTCAGAGCTTTGATGGAGGCCTCAGGAACAGCCTTGTTGATGCCTTGTCGATGCCTGGGGCGGACTCGACTCCAAAATAAAGGCGGACCGTCACCCTCAGCCTAGCAGCTTGTTTCTCGGACAACGACTTTTCTGCAGACAGCCTCCTGTCTCGTCCCTGCCGTTGGCTCCACCCTGTCAAGTGAAGGCCATCGCAGAACTCACAGGAACTTAATTGTGCAGTAAATGGCTGACGGGGAACAGCTAAGTGTGTGAGTTTCCGTGCAATGTCTCCGTGTGTGGCTGATCGCTGTTATGGACTAACCATTGCCCACATTGTACTATAGACATAGCCTTCGTGCTTCTGATAGCCTTTCTCAAACATAGTCCTCTCATCGCTTTTTGACTCAATGGTCCCGGGCATCCATCCTTTTAATCGCCTGGATTGGAAATAACAGCTTGATGATCCAGTGGATTGAGTGCAGTCTTGCATATCACTGTGCGTCCTGGTAGCCTACAAGGGATTTCAGTTTTTGGAATTCTAGATTCTGTTTGCCTTGGGTGTTTCTCTCTTTATTCCTGGTTCTACCGGATTCCCACGTCTCTGGATTTGTTGCCTGGAAACCATTCGAGAGGACCACTCCCACATTGCCTGGAAAGAGCGTTTGGCCCGCCATATCCCTTCGAGGGTCCCGAATCAGATTTCTTGGACACAATACATACTTCTCCGTTGGTTTCAACTTTTGGATCTCCCGAAAGGTGAGAGGGCATTTCTCTCTCCTGTAGGAAATGCGCGACGAGGTGCCAGCCTTCTGACTAACATCGGCAGAAGCATTCTATGAACTTGTATTGATTATTGAGTTGGTTATGCAGCTATAGTTCCCCACGCCCATCAGCTTTGATACCCCAGACGACCCAGTCTTGACAGTCTTTCCTTTAATAATTTGCGGTACCGAGTCATTTCGCTCTTTTTCCATTTCTTTTTTCTTTTTCGTGGATAAATTACTCGTCGTTCTAGATGGAGGCGACTCAGGAGTCGACGCAGCCATGCACAGATCCCCGCCGTATTGGTCGGAACAACTCTGGTCTGCTCGAGGAGGATGTGTCAGACATCATCTGCATCTTGCATCCAACATCTCTTGCCGCTCATGAGGCAGTGGCCGCAACTGCTTCCCTTGCTCCTCAACACATCTTACAAAGAGATGAGTTGGAATACGAAGATCCCGACACCGCAGCTCTGGATATCGCCCTCAGACTGTCCTCCAACGTCCGTAATGTAAGCTTAGGCTTCTGTTTTGGGCGCAACCGAAGCCGTTGCGACCTTCTGCTTGCCCCGGACGACAATGCGAAACGCATATCCAACACGCACTTCCGAATTCACCTCACCGGCGATGGGATTCTGATGCTTGAAGATCTCTCGACCAACGGCACCGTTGTAGACGATTGTCGTCTTCGCAAGAATCAGAAAGAGAACAGCCGCATGCTGACCAATGGCTCTGTCATACAAGTGTTGCGCGGCAACAACGCCTCTGATGAGGTAAGGTTCGTCGTCCGCATCCCGTCTCGGGATGGATATGCAATGCGGTACACAGAGAATATGCTTCGTTACCTCGAACGAGCTCAGAGGCAACCAGCAGGTGCCATGCAGAAGAACCGTCAAGGTTCAGTGCGACCTGCTCTGGAATGGACAGTAGCCAATGCGTATGGAATGCACTGGACAGGTGGTAGTATGTACAATGTGACTGGTCAAATCGGAAAAGGAGCGTTCGCAACCGTCTACAAGCTCGCCACGAAACAACACGGAGCCGTGTACGCTGCCAAGGAGCTCGACAAGAGGAGGTTCATGAAGAACGGGATACTTGATCAGAAAGTGGACAATGAAATGAAAATCATGAAGGATCTCAAACATGTCAGTTTTTCAACCCCTACGTCTCATACAAGACTTTTAGAACTGATTACCGCTCAAAACAGCCCAACATCGTACAATACATTGATCACCATGAACACGACAGATGGATCTATATTATCATGGAGTATGTACCTGGCGGGGAGCTTTCTACTTATCTTTCAACCCATGGCAAGATTCCTGAAGACATGGTCAAAACATTGGCCAGGCAGCTCCTGCATGCATTGCAATATCTCCACAAACGCAGGATCACGCATCGTGATATAAAGCCTGATAATATTCTGATCGCTTCACTTGAGCCGCTAAAAGTGAAATTGTCGGACTTTGGATTGTCGAAGGTCGTTCAAGAGGAAACGTTCTTGAAGACCTTTTGTGGCACTTTGTTGTACTGTGCACCCGAAGTATACCCAGAATATGAGAATTATCGACGAGGTGAAGTCAGAAAAAGACGTCGATTGGGTGACCCGTAAGTCAACTTCAATCCATTGCGGGCATGGCGAATACTGATTTGTAGTCCTCCGAAAACGTCCCCATACGATCAGTCCGTCGATATGTGGTCATTCGGTGCGGTACTATTCCACATCCTTAGCGGTACGCCTCCGTACACAGGTCGAGGCGACGACAGAGGGTCTCAGATGTTGCGGAATATTATGACTAGCGAGCCTGATTATGATGTGTTGCGCAGAGAAGGTGTCTCTGAGGCCGGTGTTGATTTTGTTAGGCGCCTTCTGGACCGTGATCCTCATTCACGACCGAAGGAAAGTGAATGCTTTCAACATCCGTGGATACGTGATGTGCCAGACGTCGACGAGTACGACGATAACGATATCCAACCCACCGACTTCGGGGCCCTGTCTGATATTGGTGAAGATCTGGAGAACGAGCTTGACGCGTCACAGATTTCGCTCAATGACAACCCAGAACCGGATATTGCCGGTGACGAAAGCAACGAATTGGCACAATCCAAGAGGCCCAGGATTGACTATCCCCCTGCCCAAATTCACTATCCATCACTCCCAAATATTGAAAGCTTCCCAGCCGCTCTCCCAATTCCTGACACCACCCCGAGACGCTTATTTGGTGAAATCACCTCTTCCGCACTGCGCAGTTCCAACGTCTTGGGAGCCAGTATGAATGCCTTCGGCGGTGATGACCTCAGCGTCCATGACTTCGTTTCTTCAACCGGTGAGTCGATCATAAGCGACGGCAACAGCCTAAACTCTGTCCTCTCCCTTCCGGACAACCCCTTTGCTGGATCCGCGCCAAGCTTGATGGGAGCTGAGAACCTCGTTGGGCAGCTGAACATGAACTCGTGGCACCCTGGCACTTCGGCACACGGTCCCCTGGCGGCCGCCGAGCTGCCGGCTCTGAAGACTAGCGTGAATGAAGCAGTCGATGATAGTCCTGGCCCCGAACTCAACAAGGAAACACATCCGAGTACTGCGACCCCGAAGGGAGCCAAATTCAGCCGCCGAATTGAGTTACCACTTCCCGATACGGCCAGCGAACATTCCAGCCGCGAGGTCACCAGAGAAAATAGCAAAGCCCCCTGTGATAAACCCGAAGCGAGTGCCGGTGAGGTTTTTGACATTGAATTGGCGGTCACGATCGACGCTCGAACCGGCCGACAAATCTCACCAGACGGCATAGTGAGCGACAACACATCAGCAGCCCTGCAACATGCTGTGCCTACTCAAATTCCTCCGACTATTTCCCTCCACCGGCGTGAACAGTCTCGTCCACTTTTAGGAAAGCTCACTACTCTCCCGGGATCAATATTTGACCTGACGATTCGCTTGGAAGATCGAATGACATCCTGGGGGCGGGGACCTCAAGCAACCATCTGCCATCCTGACCCTATGGACACGCGAATCCCTGCATACGCACTGGAAGTGACTTTCTGGGCACCGGCTATTGAGGCGCAGATCGCGGCAGGGCGCAACTGGATGGAGGTTACTGGAGTAATGGCTATTCTTTCAACCAAGACTCGCAAGTGCATCTGGGTCAATGATACAGAATTGCGCCGGGGGTCAGAGGGAAGCAACACTCGGGAGGGATTTCATTTTGGGAAACTGTACACTGGCGATATCATCACAGTCTACCGACATCGGAACAAGTTCTTGAAGTTTCAGTGCGAATTCTACCATGGAGACAGCGCACGCTCGCGACCAGAGGAGGAAAAGGGCTTCGTGGTGCGGAAGGTGTTGATGTCCAAGACGGGCGTGGCTGCTAATCGACTGCCAGTGCGCAAAGATAACGATGGGGCAAAAAGCACGGTCTAACTGTATGATGAGAAAGGGCACTTGGGTTAGGTAGATTTGGGATGGTCGCCTGCTTCTTTTTGGATGACTTATTGCGCAGCTATTGTTAGCTATATTGTTAGCTGTCCACTCTGTGACTCTTTTGCGGCGCACTACGTTTCTGCAAGATTTCTCGTTGGGGACCACAGTGGCAGAAGTCTGCATCTTGAGTTGAACATACAGTGGGATTGGATTCAAGGTCTGGGATATCCATAAATGAAGTTGAATTATGATAAAATGCTTACTGGTTCTTCTCAATTAATAGTAATTCCCTAAGAGTTGATGAAGTTTCTCCTACTGAATCCGTATGTATTCGCAAAATAGCCATGTCTTCAGGTACAACCACGCAATTGGACGATCATCACTTTGCGCAACAAATTAGGTCATGAACACTATTCCTGAAGAGGCAACTCAGGGTCCTGACAATACGGGTACAGACCTGTCATTCCCCGCCACTGTGCCGGTGTATGGTAATCATATGGTAATTACCATCTTATTTCGGTACCTAGGGATCTCACGATCTGTTAATGAACAAGGCAAACCGCAAAACTTCCATTGCTGCAACAGGCTCCTATGGAGGATTTCCATCTCTTGAATGCAGTTATCCATCACCAGGATATCTATCTCTGTCATAGGGCAGAATCACCCTTTTCTCAGTTGCGACTCTTTGGCCCGTAATAGCAACCTTATAAAAAAGGCTTAGATCTGGTGGAAAATTGGCGGTTCCAGATTTAATTTCCCGCCAAATGCAGACTCTCGAATCATTCTTTCTCTTCTCCTGGCATGTCCCATCGTGTAATCTTATTTTTGATTACTCTGTCTTCTGACTCTGTTGTCAATATGTGAGACTCTATCCGTCTTGTCTCACTGGACTCATCATCATGTCGCTGGCAACGTAGCATCAAACAAGTCTATTGTTATCGTCTTCTATCTATAGGTTCCCCCCTCAACGTTCCACGGGTTCCCCAATTTAGTTCCTAAATCCTTCTCTCTCGACGGGAACGGGCAGACCCGTTCACGGCGAGAGCCAGTCCCCTTTGTGGTTGAATGGCTATTCCATTTCCGTACTGATGATAATCCTCCCTTGTTACCTTTCTTTTGTTCTTCGCTTGTCGGATACTACTGCGTACCATCTTGCGCTCCTGCAGTGGCTTCTTGGCCCTTGACCACTTTTACTCCCCCGAAGATCGACCACTTGGACGGTACCTACATCAACAGCGACGATCCTTTGAGTGTCAGCAGTAACGAGCGCCGTCTTGCATCAGGGTCTTCGCGCCGACGTGTCCACTATCTTCGACCTCCCTGTCGGCCTCGATACCCCATGTCCCTTTCTCGATCACCCTCTCCCCACCCGGGAGGAGGGTGGTCAAGTCCGGGTCTTACTCCCGGCAGTGGCACTTCGACCCCGCGCAGCGGTTTTCTCTCGCCCAACTCACTCGGTCCCAGCGGCATATCCTGGGCGGCGGCTAGAGCGAAGAGCGACGAGGTCCGAGGATATCCATCATTCTCGACAAGGAATAACGGGTTCTTCTCCAGATCGAAACGCAAGATATCGTCCAGCTTGCCTCGGTTTCGTATGAATGGTTCTGCGGGGAATGGTTATGTTGACAAGGATGAACACTGGCGGGGGCAGAGCTATTCCGGGACAGGATTGCGATTTGGGTTCGCCAGGGGCTTGATGCGGAGGAGGCGGTCGCGGGCCATTTTGGCGCTGATTGTCCTTTTCCTTGGGTATTTGTTCTTCTGGACAGGTATGCTGTGCGAAACAAAATCCTAGCCCTGTTGTGAACAGATCTGTTGACTCTGACCGCTTGCAGCCATTGTTCAAAGTTACCGGCGATCATCATTTGGCGGAGGACGCAAGTTCGTGATCATTCTACAATCCAATGTGGAAGGAGGGGTCATGGAGTGGAAGGGAGCGCGCGAATGGGCGCTCGAGCGCAACAGCATCTGGAACAAGAAGGAGTACGCGAAGCAGTGGGGTTACGAATTGGAGATCGTCAACATGCTGGCTAAGAAGCGGTACTCGCATGAATGGCGGGAGAGTTGGGAGAAAGTTGATATCATCCGGGAGGCTATGAGAAAGTATCCACATGCGGAGTGGTCAGTTCAAGCATTACCCGTGGAATTTACCTCTTCTAACTGTTTGATGTAGGTTTTGGTGGTTGGACCTAAACACTTGGATCATGGAGTACTCTTATTCCCTGAAAGAGCATATCTTCGATCGGTTGGGCGCACTGACGTATCGTGATATCAACTTGTACAACCCGTTGAACATCAGCCATCCCCCGACAGCGCCTTATCTGGATGAAATATCCCGTTCGGCGGAAGGAGACCGGGATCCATCCTCTATCGATCTGTTGCTGTCACAGGACTGCGGAGGCTTCAACTTGGGCTCATTCTTCATCAAACGCTCGCTGTGGTCTGATCGACTATTGGACGTCTGGTGGGACCCTGTCATGTACGAGCAGAAGCACATGGACTGGGAGCACAAGGAACAGGATGCGCTGGAGTATCTGTACCGAACTCAACCGTGGATTCGCAGCAGTGTCGCCTTTGCGCCTCAGCGCTACATCAACTCATTCCCTCCAGGAGCTTGTGGCGAAGGCGGTGATCCCGACGTGCATTACTCAGAGAGGGAACGCGACTTCTTGGTGAATATGGCTGGGTGCCAGTTCGGCCGAGACTGCTGGCGGGAGATGTACGAATATCGCGAGCTGAGCAAGAAGCTCAACCGCACGCGCTGGCAGCGTTTCAAGGATGGATTGGATGCCTTCTACAATAGACTGTTGAAAAAGGAGGACAAGCCTCAAGAACAACAACAATGAACCTAACAGTCTCAGTGCTGTAACCACTCGAGATCCACTTGGCTTGCTCCATTCTCTTTCCTGGCATTGCTGACCCTTCGCTTCACGGCATACGATGACTCCATGTGCTGCCTCTCCTTGAGCAACATATCTCCTATACCGATTAATGTATCATTTGACTGTTTTCTTAGTTTGATCTGCTCTGCATCGTGGCTGTAGCCCATTGCGAGGCGTCTCTGGTTACGAGGATGTTTGATTTGGCGTGGCGCTTGGTGCTTTTCCGATTCATATGAGACTACTACAATAGAATGAACCTAATGGTACTATTTGAGATGTCAGATATTGCATCGAAATTTGGAGCCTCATCTAGTCACGACAATCAAGATAGTACTCCGTACCCTGAGAGACCGAAAACCTACCTTACCGCCTTGAAAATGCGCACTAAGCACACCCCGTCCACCTTACACCTCACCGCCTCCAGTCCAACCAATCACAGTATCCCAATTGCCCAATCCATTTCCGCCGACGACATCCATGAAAAGCCCAGGAATCAAACCCCAACAAGCCATAACCAGCCAAACCAGCTCCTCCCAGCGCAGCGGACCTCCATCCCTCCCACAGAACCAATCCCCCTCCCACCACCTCAACGCCAAAAAAATTCAAAATGCCAACCCCCGAATCCGCCGCGTTCCTGGCTAAGAAGCCCACCGTGCCCCCGACATACGAAGGCGTCGACTTCGAAGACAACGTCGCCCTGCACAATGCCCGCGACGCCATTATCCGTGAACAGTGGGTGCGCAGCATGATGTCCCGGCTCGTCGGCGAGGAATTGGGCAAGTGCTATGCTCGCGAGGGGGTGAACCATCTGGAGAAGTGTGGGAAGTTGAGGGGTGAGTTTGCCTACTGCCTACTGCCTACCGGGGTCCTACCCAGGGTCCGTCCGGTCCTTGGCGCTCTCCGGAGGGGTGTGGGTGTGGTGAAACGGGCCCGGCAATAGCTAATGAATTCAATCTTCAGAGAAATATTTCGAGCTTCTGAAGGAGCGCAAGGTCAAGGGTTATCTGTTCCAGGAGAAGAACTATTTTGCGGGCGATGGGGAGAAGTCGGCGTGAGTGAGCCGGCGAGTTTGGGGACTCGCTTGTGTGTATGCTTTGGGTTTGTGTGCTTTTAGCTTTGCAGTGGAATCAATGGGTGTCATTTTTCTTTCCTTGTCATTTTTCGTTTTCGTTTTGAGGGTGGTGGCAGGGTTTGAGGTTGCCGGAGATGCCGGGGATTGAATGAAGAGTAGGATGGGCAGGTTGAATCATTGAGATAGATGGGATTGTTTTTTGTTTGATTTTCATGTACATATATCTTGACACCACTGCAATACATCATTGCATGTTCCATCGAAGTTGGAGCGATGACGCCGGTGTAGACTGATTCCGGTCTTCCACGAAGCCATGGCTCTTGGACGGTTTCTACACTTGTGACCATGCTGTGTACATAAATGCATTGCACGCCAATTGAACTGAGAAGGGTATCGTCAATAATAAGTGCTTTCGCTTCGCTCAGGAAACGCTCCTGGCGCAACCCCCGCAGGGCCAGCGAACTCGTCGTCACTGTCATCCATGTCAATTCGTGTCTCGTAATCATCCTCTGCCGGCGGTGCGCGCATTCGCACGAGTTGATCCTCATCCAAAGACGGGAGCTTATAAGGACCAGGTGGAGAATGAATGTCCCGACCGGACGGCAGATTGGCTAAGAGGTCCGTCGACGGTGGAATGAGTTGTGTGTTGATCTATCGATCTGTCAGAGACCTTCCATGCCCAAGTACTGCTGGAAATCGACTTACCGTATCGTTCATCCTCTCCCACTTTGTCTCTAGCATTTCGATCACACGACCCTCTTCCTCCCTGCCTGCATCATCGCCAGGATCGAGCTCACCCTTCGCAGCGCGGTCTTTGCCGCCGGAGTCCTTTTCCAACTTCCGCTCCTCTCGTCGCTCAGCCCATTCCTTCTTCAATCTGGAGAACCCCCCTTTGCTCTTGGCTGAAGTTTCTTTCTCGCCCTGAGATGCACTTCTCAGGCCCAACGCGCCTTTTGCTGCCCGCAGCCAAGCAATCCCCTCCCCTATCTTCCCCGCGAGCTCCGCATCAACACCGAAGAATCGACAGGCTCGCGCCCGCGCAACGCGTCCCAGAACCCGCGCATAGCCGACCACATCTTCATCTATCCCGGTCTTGCCATGTGCGCCGACCGCTCCCATGCCAGCAGCCGCCTGCTCCGCATACTCGGCCGCACGAACACACAGGCGCGCAAAGAGCAACGCACGCACCTTGGGGATCTCCGGCGCCCGCACCATCCAGTCCTTGTCGTTTGGATTTCGAGCCTGTATGCACGCCGCAACATAGGAATCGTCTTTCAGCACAGCTAGGAGCGTTGCTTCGGCCAACGCGAGTGACGAGAGCGCCGCCTGAGCCGCGGGGTCAAGGTCCGGTACGGCGGTTGCTGTGCCCGTCTGGCGTCCTGCGCCTGTGAACGAGGGCGAAGACGCGAGTAGAGAGTGCACTGCGCTTGCTTGTAGGAGGTATTTCGTGGCGGTTTGGACGGCCGCGGTGCGCTGTTCTGGGGTTGGGGTGGTAGGGGCGTAGAGAGCGCGTAGGACGCCTGAGCGAGCCAAGCCGCTCAGCACATAGCCTAGTGTCGTGAGGACAAAGGCGATCTCAAAGTCGATTCCTTGCCCGCGAACTCTGCCGTTTGTGGGCCGGCTTTTCAGCGATAACGGGGTCGAGGTTAATGTCGCGCGCCATTCTGTTTCGATCTCGCTGTGGAGAGTGATCTCGATTTCTTCACTACCCGTGCTGCCCCCAGTTTCAATAGGTCTCCCGCTCAACCCATGCGAGATAGCAGCGAGATACGGCAGGTAGTCGTTCAACGCGCCGAGGACTGTGGTGAGATGGGTGTCTCGTTGCGAACTGCGGGGTAGTCTTTTGTGAGCCTTGAGGGCGAGTCGCAGTGCATGCCGAGCTGTAGACGCAGCCTGGGGTAAAGATGGATGTGTGCTAGATGTGAGAAAAGTCCGAAAGGAAAGATGCGAGGTGGTGGGGAGAGCAAAGGCATAAACCATGTTGCTGGAGTTTTCTTACTGTAATGCGGAGATTGAAGATGGTGGAGATGAGGAAGCAAAAGGATAAGCCGTTGATGTCACCGCCAGGCCAAGAGTTGTCTCCATAGCACCAGACTACTACTACAGATACAGACTAAGTCTAAAGCATGGACTCGTGGTGGGCTCAAACATTGTCTCCCTGGGTACTGCCAATATAAGAGCATTTTGGTATTTGGTTTGATTTCGAGGCTGAGTACATGATTTAGATAGAAGCTATCTCTGGTTGCTGAACACTGGGGTAATCACGGATTGACCTATCAGTTAAATTTTATGATCCCGCAAGATCATAGTATATTCCGACGAGAGACAGGTCTTATTGTCAGCCCCTGTCCGGTCGTTTGCCAAGGCTTGGACCTTGACTTCAATGGTGAAGGCAGATCAGTTGGCCACCGGGTGCAGATTGGGCGAAAATAACCGGCGAGTCGCCGGAAAACAAGCATGGCCTGATCCCGATTTGGTTCAGCTTCATATAGAAACCCGAATGAATCGCCAGATGCGGTGTGGAGGCACACTTCGGAGATCATACTCTGAGCTGGTTGAGTGTTGCCGTTGATGGTCGGTCGCGGCCATAGTCTTGATGAACCTCTTATCGAGGTGTGTATGTTATGGTTCGAGTGTCTTGTTGACTGTTGGGGTGACCTCGCTGCATCCCATCACACTTCCATACTATCTGCGTCTGACAAGTTGCTGGGTGCACTACTGACACCAGACGAGTCGCTGTCAGCAACATATGGCGCCCGCGACCGCACTTGATGGCTCCATTCTTGGATGCTGGAAACACCTCCCTCTATGACGATCGGATGCTCTTCAGCATTTTTCCCAAGTACAGTGCCCGCGTATCGAGACTCCTCGCCTGTTTTGCTGTGCTTTTTCTTCAAAGCTGTGAGGAAATCCTCCTTCTCCACGGACTCGGCGTCGATCATGTCACCCTCGCTAGGTAGGAAGCCAGCCACTCGCCGGATTTCACGGTTTGCCGGTCCTGTAAACCAACCCAAGAAGTTTTCCAGTCCCCGCATATCTTCCTCCCCTTGCCAATCCTCCTCCCATTCTCGCAATTGCGGCCGTAGTGCGCCAACGTCCTGAAGTGCTTGGTATATGTCTTCTAGCTCCGGGACAGGATCGTTCGGGTGGGCGTTGGCTGCGTGAGAGGCAACAGAGGATGCGAGGATCATCATATACCGAGCTGTAAGATCGGCTAGTGTATCTAAGACGGACGGACGCGTGGCATGGAAGCCAGCTGCGCGCAAGATCTGAATGATGGGTGGACGGAGGAGAGCGTTGTGTAGGTTGGGACCGGACATTATGCCACTGCCTGTCGGTTGAATGTAGCAAATCAGAAGAAAGAAAACAGGCAAGCTATAGGAGAAAGATGCCAGTCAAGGAAAAAGGGACAACTAGTGAACTGATCAGTATTGGTTAGATTGATTGAGAGGTGAGAGAAAGGCGGAGCGAAAGATGAACACTTTCTGCCGGTTGTTCACTTTGGCGGAGTTTCTTGTCTCCAACTTTGTCCCTCACTCTCACCACGACAACGGCACACCAAGGTTTCAAGAGGATTACTTCTTTTTCAAAGCTCATTTGTGTCTATTTGGTGCTGGTGAGAGCTTTGTTGTCTCTCATCATACATCGTCATCATGTCTGACGCCCCTCGCCCTTCACTCAAGCTCACGCTGGGCAAGAAGAAGGCGCCCGAGGTGCCTTCGCAGCCACCGGGTCAGCCTCCTCCTACCTCGTCCGAAACACCTCAGCGCAAGATCACTTTGAAGATAGCGCGAAAACCTCAACCGGCCGAAGCGGAGGAGAAGGCAAAAAAGAAGAAGCCATCGAAAAAGCGACCGGCGGAGGGACTCGCAGGTCCCTCTGCTCCAGAGGCATCGGCGCAGCCCGTGGGACCGAAACGTCTTAAGCTCAATACTTCCAAGAAGCCAGGAGTACAGTCGATCAGAATCAAGAACAAGGGGCTGGTCCCCAACAGACCTGTCGGCGTTGGCTACGACTCTGAAGCCTCTGATACGGAAATCGATCCTTGCATCGAAGAGCAATTCATTTTACGCATGCTTCCCGGCGAAGACTGCGAATATTTACGTCAAGCTATCAATGAGCGACGATTTGATCGGTCCGAGTTCTCTTTCAAGCCCCTCACACGCGAGGGCCGACGCGCCATCCTGCGGATTCGTGATAAACAGTATGCAGCGGCGCTGGTGGACCTACCATGTATCATCGAAGGCATGAAGAGCTGGGACCGGCGTGGATGGTATAAGTCTGCGGATATCTGTCAGATGCTTTTAGTTTTGGGGCCCGTTTCGAACGATGCAGAGGCCATGAATTATCCTCTTCCCTCCGACATTGATGTTCTGGACGACAAGACATTACAGTATCCGCACGGTCTGACGCCCCCTTTGCGTTATGTCAGGAAACGGCGGTTCCGCGAGCGGCTTAGCACACGAACGATAGAACAAGTAGAGAAGGCGGTAGAGGATCTGATCGCGCAAGACGAAGCCGCTATTGCCTCTCGCTACGAATTGTTGGACAGTGCATCCTTAAATCGGGCGGAGGGGCTTGTCCAGAGTGGAGAGTATTACGAGGAAGACGAATACTATGACGACGAACAGGACGCAGAGGGCGAGCTCGACGAGGGCATGGAGGAGGTCGCTCTTGATGATGGAGGCCTCGATCCTCTCCTGGAGGAAATGGAGGCTGCTTTGCGCGGAGACAATGAAGCGCCGCCACAGGCAGCACCTTCCTCGGATACTGGCCTGGCGAATCTCTATCAAGCTGGAACTCCAATGGCGACCAAACCCTCCACACCTGCTGCGGATACATCGGGCGATGAAAGTGACTCAGATGCCGACGAAGCGGAAGTGCCTGAAGAAGAACTGGATGACGAGCAGCTTGAGCAACAGCGGCAGTTCCAGCAGCATCGCGAAGAGATTGCCGAGCTCGAGGCCCTTATTCGCGCCGAGACGGTCAAGTGGGAGAATATGCAGAATCAAATCTTGAAGCACAAGCTTGCCAGGCGTATCCAGGACTTAAAGCGGGATCTATCCTTGAAGAAGGTCTCCGTTGGTGAGGGCGGCGATGCTGATACTTGATCGCACGCTTCATCTATTCTAGCAGTTTGATTTGATACCCGATTGGCATGTTTTGTACAGTTAAGCAATGACATATCCTCACATCTATCTACTAAAGGGCTCATATTCCTGACGACATCGCGTTGATTTCACCAATTTATCCCTGCCTACTTTCTTTTAGGCGACTGGATCTCCTGTGCCTGCACGAACAGCTCCTTTCACATCCAGATTCTCCTCTTCCTTCAACTTCCGCTGTCTCAACGCTTCCCTCTCGGCGGCCTCTCCATCAGGCTCTGCAGGACTCTGCCCAACACCGTCGCCTAGAATTCGATCATGTTCCTCCTTCTTTCGTCCCATATCCGCAGCAAGATCTCTTTCTTCTCCGAATCCAGGGTTTCCAGGCCCTTGTGCGCTGCCCACGGGACCGGCATGCGCACCGGCCTGTGCTCGCTCGCTTTTGTGTCTTACCGCCTGAGCAATTTCTCCTTCCGCGGGTTGCTGCTCCACGCCATATTCCAAGTCGACGTCAGAGGCGGCTTGCAGGTTCTTCTGCTCCTGTTCGCGCCTCTGCTTTAGACGTGCGAGTTCTTCGTCATTGGATGGGTTGGAGTCTGCGGTACGACGGGTAATGGAGGAGACAGGGTCACCGCGCTGACGCTGGTGAGGCGAAACTCGCTGCTCGAGGGGTGTCTGGGTGACGGGGTTCTGGGATTGGTCGTATGCGGCTTGCTTGGAAGGCTGCGCTGGTTGTTGTTGTGTTGCCATTCTGATGGTGCTTGCGAATGCCGCTAAGCGATTAAGAATATGAAGTAATAGAAAGGGGCAATTTAATGGCTTCGTCTCCCTCTAATTGCACAATAGATTATTAGAATGTCTGGAGTCCTCGCGGTAGATAAGCAGTTTGATGGATGCATGACGTCAGTGACGATACCTTGCTTAACTTGCGATCGTCCTACGCGAGGATTTCTACACCATCGCATAGATGTAGTTGAAGCAAACACAATCAATCTGATGCACTCGAAGCTTGTCTATCTACATCGTCCCTGATTGCCGTTCACGGCCCGATTGATGTGTTCTGTATTGGAGACTTCATGAACTGAACCACGTCTCGTTTTATATGTACCGCTGGACATATTATAGAAGCCCATTACCACCCTGTTGAAGAGAGCTCTCTAATTTCCCTCTCGATAGTAATAATTCTTTAATCTGCTCATCGGCTGTATTCCCTTAGTCTGCTACACTACTGGATGTAGACAGAGCTACTACTACGGCTTGCTGATGTAGTTACTTATCAATGATCTCGAGTCCTGAGGTCTACATGGACGGCCAGGGTCAATTCAGCCCTATCGTAGAATAAAGGTGCATGCTTTTGGAAGTCATCTTGCAGTACTGCCTGAATCACAGGAGTGTCGTCCAGGGTATGGCAGTTGAGGTCCGATCCTTTGGGCCGGATCTAAGCAGTTGAGAACTTTGGAGCCGAGGAATCTGGGAGAGTGATTCAACTATTAATTTCTGAAGGGAGATTGATCTTCGATTCTATGCTATTTTGTAATCCCTTGACATCTTTTGAATGAAGTTCGTCTCGGGCTGTCGTTCGTCTGCGTTTGCGCGGAACACACCACGATTATCACGCTTTACCAGCAAAATCAGGACGTGCAAAGAATGCCTCGAGCACAGCATTCAGCTCTTCCCTCGCCTCCAACTGTATCCAGTGGCTTTTCGTACTGACTCGCTTGAAGGTCAAGTCCTCGACGGAGTGCTTCATCTGTTCAAGGAACCCAGGTATCTCAAGCTTGTTCGGTTGTGGGCCGATCATGAGCACTGGCATCTTGAGTTTCGAATCGATGTTTGCTTCGACCTCGTCATCCTTGTTCGCATTCTTGACAAGGGCGTGGTACCAGTTGAGCGCTGGCTTGTGGTGGCCTTGCAAGATTCTGTTGTGCATAGCTCGTTCCTGTGCTAGTCAGCTGGATTTCCATGGATGGTGTGACGCTAATATACCTCGTCGCTGACATAGGACGCCAAAGGCGCCTGCTTGTCATTGTGAAGCCATGTCTTTGTGGCGCCTAAGGGACCAACATGGTCAACCCACAAGTCTGGGTCTTCGGGGTAGAACAGCGTGAAGAACGAGTCCGCCTGTCATGTAATGCAAGGTCAGCCTGAAAGCTCTCCTCATAACGTGTGTATCCCTCACATGTTGATCCAAAGTACTGCCAGCCTCGTCCTCAACGAAAAACTCAAGATACCCACACCGCTCGAATCCCAACAACTGCTTCGTAAAACTGTTTACCATGTCCAAGTCAAAATGCTCTCCCGGCTTGGAGTAGGGGACAGCGATAAACGTGCATGACAGCAGACGGTCGGGGTAATAATCTGCCAGTCTTGAGAGAAGATTACATCCGGTATCGTGCGCCACAGCATGTACCCGTTTCAGACCCTCGTGGTCCAGTAATTCGATAATCTCCCTTGCCATACTCTTGAGCTTGTACTCCTCCACCGCGGTTGGTTTCGAGGTGCCGCCATACCCCAGTAGATCTGGCGCTAGAACTCCATACCCCAGTTTGATGAAGTGGTGGATCTGGTGACGCCAGTCATAGCAGGAAGACGGAAACCCGTGCAGGAAGAGGATGGTTGCTCGTGAAGGAGTTGCTGCGTGGTAGACATAGTTGTAAGTATGGGAAGTTGAGAGAGTATGATGTTTGGCGAGCTCTGGAAATGCAATGCTTGCCATTTTACGATTGATAAGGCGATTGATATCATACGATGGGCAAGGATTAAAAGAAGAAGGTCGTTGAGATGGGTTGAAGCTTTGAAAGATTCCTGGGCAGATCGAAATGCGGAGAGTTCCTTTGAGATTCGGAGACTTAAGCGACGGTTGGCCTTTGTCTTGCTCTCATTGGTGATGTTCTGTCATCCCTGCGGGCAGATCAGGTTCCTCGATTTGTTGCATCATTTCATCATTAGCCTGGAGGATATCTATAGCCTCCGGTCTATAGCCCTGTATAAGCATCGAGGATTGAGCTAATGGTGCATGGTGGCACCAGGCAGATATGTCCAGCCTCAGGCCAAAGCACAGCCCGAGTGCATCCAAACAATCGACTTCATCCCATCTCCAGTTGTGACCACACAGGAATCCAACATGAAAACATTCAGAAACTGAAGATATGTTTGTTGATACTACGATTATTCTATCGGATGCCTTGAAGCATGTGATGACCGGAAAAGGTTGATTATAATTCGTTTTAATTGGAGCGTGTCCAACCGAGGTTCGTGAGAGAGCTATCTCTACCACTTAATAAACAGCATATTTTCATCTTGACAATGATGTACATAGCTTCATGACTGGGAAATCCTTCAATATACCGCTGTCAACATCAATAAAGTACCATCCCCTACAAAGCCATCATGCCCTTGTTCACCGTCCCCATCTCCTCCACTGGAGGCAGCATCGTCTGCACCAATCCCACCTCCTCTGAGAAGGAGAAAAACATCTATCTCCTCACCTTCACCTCGCCAAAGGACAACAGACTCACCCCGACCTTCATCGATGCCCTCGTTCTAGCCCTAGACATAATCGAACACCGCTTCCCCAAAGGCGTCGTGATCACGACAAGCGGCATCCCCAAATTCTACAGCAATGGGCTCGACCTCGAACTCGCATCCAGCACAGAGGGCTTCCTCGATAAGTGGCTGTGGAAGCTATTCCGGCGCTTTCTCACGTATGTCCCCGGCATCCCACAACGCAACAGATACTGACCGGTGCAGATTTCCCATGCCAACGATTTGCCTGCTGAATGGGCATGCCTTCGCAGGAGGGCTCATGCTAGCCATGTACCACGACTACCGGATCCAGAATCCCGCCAAGGGCTTTCTGTGCATCAACGAGCTCGAGTTCGGGGTGCCTCTGCAGAGCCCCATGATGAGCATCTTCCGCGAGAAACTGGCCCCGTCCGCGTTCCGGGATCTGGTTCTCGAGGCGAGACGGTTCGCGGGCCCGCAGTCTGTTGCTGTGGGGTTGGTAGACGGCGTGGGTGGTCTTGAGGAGACGCTGCAGTTGATTCGGGAGCGGGGGTTGCAGACGAAGGCTGCGACGGGGATCTATGGTACGATGAAGGAGGAGATGTACCGGCATACCCTGGACATCTTGGATAACCATGCGGGTAATCTGGCGTGGAGGGAGCAGGTGGAGGAGAAGAATGGGACAGCCGGAGAGGCTGCGCTGAGAGCTGTAGAGGCGTTTGAGAAGCAGAGAAATGCGAAGCTTTGAGTTGAGATATGATAGGTATGTGTTGGCTGCTTGGTTCATAGAGATTCTTGCGCTAGTGCAAATTGTATATACTGAGCCTCTACTCCGTAGATTGACAAGACTTCTTTCATTCACTGCTCCCTCACTATCTCGTCTAAGTAGTAACATGCTAATCTCCCACACACTTCTCACTCACACTTCTCTCCAACACACTTCTCTCCAATACACTTCTCTGCCTCCCTCATCCTTCGTCTCCTTCTGAGTTCGTTCATACAGGCACCTCACCAACTGACGCACAATGATTCTCATTGCGTTCATTCTCCTTCTCTCTCTGGTCGCTGCTCTGGCCCCCGAATATGACTTCATCGTCGTCGGAGGAGGAGTCAGCGGCCTTGTCGTCGCCAACCGTCTCTCCGAGGACCCCAACGTCTCTGTTCTCATCATCGAAGCCGGTCCATCAGTCCTCGCCAATGACAATGTGACCAATGTCGACGCGTACTCCCGTGCGTTTGGTACAGAAATAGACTGGCAGTTCATGTCTGTCCCACAGACCTTCGGCGGAGAGGCACAGGTCCTCCGGGCCGGACGAGCTCTGGGTGGTGGCAGCGCGATTAATGGTAACTCATCCCAATCCGGACATGAATGAGAGCTAAGAGCCCGCATTTAGGAATGGCCTACGTGCGTGCTGAGGACGTCCAAGTCGACGCTTGGCAGTCCATCGGCAACGACGGCTGGAACTGGACGAGCCTGTTTCCTTACTACCTCAAGAGCGAGAACCTGACCTTCCCGACGACCGTGCAGACGAATGCAGGCGCAACATACGATGCCTCTGCGCATGGCTCCCGCGGTCCTCTCAAGGTTGCTTTCCCGCATATGCAGAGGGACGAAAATGATCTTACGACTGCTGTGAATCGGACGCTTCTGTCTGCGGGGATCCCGTGGAACGCAGATGTCAATGCTGGTCGCATGCGTGGGTTTAGTATCTACCCCTGGACCATCGATGAGGAGGCGTATGTCCGGCATAATGCGGCTCGGGCTTATTTCTGGCCGTTTGAGTCGCGATCGAACCTGCGTGTCTGGTTGAACACGAGGGTGAATCGGATTGTCTGGAGAAATGGACCAGGTACAGAGAAGCTCGTCGCAGCTGGCGTTGAGGTTACTTCGCAGAACGGTACTGTCAGTGTTGCGATGGCGAGAAAGGAGATGATTCTCTCGGCCGGAGCACTCAAGACGCCTGCCATTCTTGAGCTGTCGGGAATCGGGAACCCACGGTGAGTCCACTTCTCGGTCTTAACATGCTTGATAAACGGACTTCAGCTGATGCCGCCAAACTGTCTTATATAGCATCCTCAATCGACACAACATCCCCGTTCAAGTCTCGCTGCCGGGCGTCGGAGAAAACCTACAGGATCAGATGAACACTCTCATGACAGCGTCGACTCATTCACCCATCACCGGCGGCAGAACCGTCACTTTCGCCTCTGCCACAGACATCTTCAGCCAGGATACTTCCTCCCTCGCCAACCTCACACGTACCAAGCTCCCCTCGTACGCTGCCCTCGTCGCAAACATGAGCAACGGAGCCATGCAGCCCGAGGACCTGCAGCACCTATTCCAAGCCCAACACGACCTCATCTTCAAGAACAACATCCCCATCGCAGAAATCATCTTCAAGCCCGGCAGCGAGAAAACAGTCAACGCCGGTTACTGGGGCCTACTCCCCTTTGCGCGCGGGAACGTGCACATCCGCTCTTCTGATCCGGCAGCCCAGCCCGCGATCAATCCCAATTACGGGCTGTTGGATTGGGATGTCCAGCTGCAGGTCGCGATTGCCAAGTTTATCAGGCGGATGTTTCAGTCCGCGCCGCTCGAGGGGATGATCGAGGAGGAATCGAGGCCTGGTCCTTCGGCGGTGCCGGCGGACGCCACGGATGAGGTGTGGAGGGACTGGTTGAAAGATCACTGTACGTCGCGTGAATTTCTCTTCTTCGTCGGAAGGACTCTCTAACTCAAGTGCTACAGATGCATCCAATTTCCATGTCATCGGCACAGCGGCCATGATGCCCCGTTCAGTTGGCGGAGTCGTTAACAATCGGCTGCAGGTGTACGGCACGGCCAATGTGCGCGTTGTCGATGCGTCCATTCATCCGTTTCAGCTTTGCGGACATCCGATGGCTAATCTTTATGCTATTGCAGAGCGCGCGGCGGATTTGATCAAGGAGGATTGGACGGCTAGGAGCTGAGACTAGATCTGGGGAGGGCTAATGAAGCCTTTAGCTATGAGACACAACATGCTTTATGAATATTAATGATCGTATCTCTGAAAATATTCTGGTTCCTTTAAACATGGTCTCAAATCATGAACTTATTTTGCAAAGCGGGTCTTCATTTCACTTCAGTCCGTCAAGGACATCTTGATAGCGGTGATGATTCTGAAACTAGACAAGCTGATCATTGCATTTGAGTTCCTGAAAGTGCTGGATTCTCCGGCGACCTGTATCGCTCATCTGAGTGGGATGAAGGCGGAATTGAAGCTGTATGGAAATCAGCTGGATATCTATATGCCGTCAAAATCAATCCTAAATCCAGTCTGACGTGGCGAAACATCAAGGACCGCAGGTGATGATATTTTCCAGACAAGCAGACACCTTTTGTGGTGAGATGACCTCGTAGGCAGGTTGGTTGGCTGGGTATCAGACTGAGAACTGCTTCCATTCACTGCGGCATTCACTACTTCATCCCAGCAGTGGCAATATCCCCCCTCAAGAAAAAAATTCTCCAGCCCCTGGGCTTTCCCAAGTCTATAAGAGAGTCCGGATCACGACAAAACTCGCTTTTCGTGCAACGTCTCTCCCATCACCACTGCGATTCGCTCACCACCACAAGCGGAGCCATGCCGAGAAAAGCACGCCAACACAAGGTGCGAGGGTAAGTAAAACTTCAAGTTTCTCTCATGACATAAATCTGTATTCATCTCTCTTGGTCTTCTCTTTGGCCATCTCTTCAGTCACCTCCCACCCCTCCAGATCCTGTCAGTCTCGTCAAATCTACCGTTGCACTTGATCTGACACATCGTTAGGCTTCTCCCCTCAGCTATCGAAGACGGAAAAGACTTGGATCCCCAAATGAAGCGTGACGCCCGCGAAATCGAGGGGGATACCCCGAAAGCCGCAGCCAAGGATGGCCCCAAAGAGACCAAGCCTGAGCCAAACCCAGCGTCCAAGCGTATCAGTATCAACCGCGAGGAGATTACGAAGATTATGATGGCTCAGTCCCAGGCAGCTCGCCAGGCCAAACTCGGACTGCCCTTCCAAGCTCGCGAGGAAATAGGCAAGGATGTCCCTGGGTTCAATAAATCTCAGAGTGTAAGTGTTCAGAAGTCTTGCCCGCCAAGCATCGCTCACACTTTCGCCAGGGCAATCGCAAGCAGCCTGTGTACGATGGAGCCACCAAGGGACGCCCTCCTCTCTCGAACGAGGCAATCGCCGCCATCCTCAGATACACCAAGCCGGAGTGTAACAAGGCCCAGACCTGGGTTCATGCCCATGAGTTCACCAAAGCAGTTCAGGAAAGAATGAAGGCCAAAATGGAGGAGCGCGAGGACCTCCGGAAGAAGATTCACCGCAAACTGCATGCTCAGTTGATGTTGAACAACCCCGGCGCACGTCCCAACAATCTCCAGGCAGTGCGAGGCGAGCAGGTGGACGATGATAGCAAGCTGACTCCGACGCAGAGGGTCCAGAGAGCCCACGATAGACTTCAGAAAGCATTGGCAGAAATTCTGGACGTATAGTTGACCTGCAGCGTTGCAGATGTTTGGGTTCATCCTAGCTGGTTACCAGGTGTTGGCTTCCCTCTCTGCTGTCTTCTTCTTGATGGGTTAATGTGACATGATTCACTCAAAAAATGATGTGCTATGACTGGATCGGTCTGACCATTTGACATGGAATGTACAATAATGATCAGTCTTGTGGAAATGGACATTGTCTCTTCAGATTTTCTTGTTCTTGCTGGTCCCTTTAACTCGAGTTGGACTATCCAATTTATCTACCAGCGGCCGATAAGGTGAGGCTATGACATGCTCAGGCGCCCGTTGCGTGGTTTCCGGACGTCTCGGCTCGCCAGGAGACGGACGTCGCAATTGGTCTTCATGCATGCGATCCAACGATTCACCTACGACTTGATACTTGGCCCAGTTGATCGGTGGCATTCGGACCACATTTTGGGGGGTTGGAATCGGTCCTATGTCGGACAATGCATCCTTTGTCGATTCCCCTGCCCCGTCGCTAACAGGCTTGTCATCTTTATGTGTGAAATTGATGTAAGCCCCCTGATCTTTCGCTGAGATGAGATTCCCTGCGCCCAATTCGCGCGCAAACCCCTCCGGATCCGCAGCGGCGACCTTCTTCAGCTTCTCCAAGGTCTGTATATCTCGTATACTCTGCTGTTTCTGAAGTTGCAGGATCGAAATGGCGGACCGCAACGCGATCGCATCGGGGTTCTCGCTTTCCGATATCGGCACGGGCGCAGGCTCTTGACCAAAGACCACCTGGCCCTGTGTGCCGGGAAATTTGGAGGCTGATGCATAGGGAGGAGCTGGGGTAGTAGGTGAGGGCGACGTAGCTGGGGGTGCGATGGGATGGGAGGCTCCGTTTGTCATGGCGGAGTCGTTCGCCGGGGCGAGATGGGACAGAACTGGAGTCACTGGGGAATAAGGCGGGCGGGGCGGAGTGCCAGGCTGATCGTCGTGGTCGTGGTCGTGGTTCTCTTGCGCTGGCTGCATTGTACAGTTTTCAATTCATGCTGTCGAGGCAGACATACAGACAAGTTAACCTGGTTGAAAAGGAAAAGAAAGCGTCGAGTAAATCAGGGGTGGCCAGATCTGCTGTAGTGATGACTGACAGAACAATGAAACAACGAGGGACTCTCTTCGCGAATGACGTCGGCCGCTTTCTGCCTGATTCGGACTTTCGGTACTCGCCGACCAAGTGGATATTGATAAATAAGATGAGGCTATTGCTGTTGTTCTAAGAGCTTGTGGGCGCAACCACTCGCTAGGTCAATAAGCAAAATGAACAGCTAGACTCTCGGTTGTCAAAGCCAAGGTGATCCAAGTCATGGTGACTTTTCATCTACGGAGTATTATTGATGGCCTTATCGCAAGCTGTTTCCAGGCCGCATTAGCGATATCGTCTCACTCGAACCTCTGATATAACAGAGAAGTAAAGGACAGATTAGATGTTCCTTTACTATTTCACTTCTGAGCCTTTCTCCAATCACTTCAAAATCGAAAAAGAGATGTTGATTGACATACTAAGGCAGACTATGGCATGGTCTGATCGATGGATGGCCTGATTGATGCCCCCGATTTCCTCACCGCCTTTGAAAAAGTAGCGAAAAAAAAGGAAAAAAGGTGATCTTCGTCCATTCTGAGAACAAACTTCCATAATTCTTCTATAAACGTATCAGTATATACTGGCAAAATGAAGCGGAAAACCGAGACAAGGGAGTCTCTGAATGGCAATGGCCAGCCGGAGACCAAGAAGCGCGCACTGTCAAGCGAAGAAGTGGCTGCGCGCTTTCGCGATGGCCTATTCGAGCCCTCGGAGCAACAGAAGTATACCAAGGCGTACGCCCAGTCTGGCCCGTAGGTGTCCCCTCGCTTGATTTCTCACTCATAGGAAAGTACAGAGGTGCTGACAGGATTAAGTTACAAGCACGGAGTCATCCATCCCCTAATTGAGCGTTCCCTTTTGCGATCGGTGCGTGACGAAATCCAGGAACATCTCGACTTCACCGAGAAAGAAACCGATATCTACAAGATCTTCCAGTCTGGCGATCTGGCGAATCTGGACGGCCTGGACGATGCTTCTCTGTCAAAGCTACCTTCATTGCTGAAACTGCGTGATGCCCTGTACTCTGCCCGATTCCGGGAATACTTGTCGGCCGTGACGGGCTCTGGCAAGCTTAGCGGGCGCAAGACCGATATGGCCATCAACATCTACAACGAGGGATGCCACCTTTTGTGCCATGATGACGTGATTGGAAGCCGACGTCTGAGCTATATCCTGTACCTGACTGATCCCGACACTCCCTGGCAAGCAGAATGGGGCGGTGCTCTACGCTTGTACCCTACCACCACCAAAAAGGACATCAACGGGGAGGACGTCCTAGTTCCCAGCCCTGACTTCAGTCTGAGCATACCCCCGGCATTCAACCAGCTCAGCTTCTTCACCGTCCAGCCCGGTGAAAGTTTCCATGACGTCGAGGAGGTGTATCACCCCAAGGAGGGCGAAGATAAATCGGCCAAGCGCGTGCGCATGGCCATCAGTGGATGGTTCCATATTCCGCAGAAGGGAGAGGATGGTTACGAGGAGGGTCTGGAGGAGAAGCTGGCCGAGCGAAGCAGTCTGGCGCAGCTCCAGGGCCGCGGTGACATCTACGATTTGCCCCAGGCCAAGACGGTCGTGTGCGAGAAGGAGCCGGAGGTCAAGGGCAAGGGAAAGGCCAAGGTGGAGGAAGAACCCAGCTCCGAGTTCAGCGAATCCGACCTCAACTTTCTCCTCCAGTACCTTGCGCCGTCCTACTTGACGCCCGACATCGCCGAGGAAATGTCCGAGACGTTCTCGAACGAATCGTCACTCAACCTTGACCGTTTTCTGTCGGACAAGTTTGCTGCGCGGGTACGGGCTTATATCGAAGAGCAGGAGAAGCAGGAACTTCCCAAGTCCTCCGACGAGATCCAGGCCAAGACCGAATGGACGGTTGCTCGCCCGCCGCACAAGCAGCGCTATTTGTTCCAGCAGCACGGGGCCGCCACGCAAGACCAGAAAACTCCTATCCAGGAACTGCTGAACGATCTGTTCCCCTCCCCAGCGTTCCGGAAATGGCTGGCTCTGATTACCGGTGCTGAGCACATCACGAGCTATGATCTCCTGGCACGTCGCTTCCGCCGCGGGCAGGATTACACGCTCGCGAGCGGATACGACGGCGAAGAGCCCCGGCTAGAGTTCACGCTGGGCCTGACACCCACATCCGGCTGGGAGAAGGAAACGGACGAGGACGAGGACGAGGAGATGGAGGGCGAGGACGGCGCGGCGCCGGAGAAAGCCAAGGCGACGGACACTGCCCAGGCGGACGAGCCTGCGGTGGGCGGTTACGAGATCTACATGGCGGGCGACGACGAAGACGACGGGGACGCAGCCATCTACAAGTCTGCGGCGGCGGACGAGGACGACGGCATCCTCTTCAGCACCGCGGCTGGATGGAACCGGCTCAGCATCGTCCTGCGCGACAGCGGCACCCTCAAGTTTGTCAAGTACGTCAGCGCCGCGGCCAAGGGTGACCGCTGGGACATTACTGGCGAGATGGGCGTTGACTTTGGTGACGACGAGGAAGATGAGGATGACGATGAGGAATAGACCCAGCAAAAGTGACGATTTCTTAGCAAGTACTGTACATACTTTGTCTTTTCTGAATAAAGCGCTGGATACCAAAAATAGATCGCACCGCAGACATCAATAAGTTGCTGCCTATCTGGATCAGCTGTCTCGTGGCTTAGACTTTGATCATCAACGCAACGCTGCCTGTAGCACAGCATAGCCATTTCACTCCTGTTCGACAATTTGCAGACTACACCGCGGTCTTACACACGGTGTCCACCCTGCCCCAAGTCTACTCTACCGATAAACTACTCCTCTGCCAACAAGCGACTTCATTCCACGTGGTCCTGACAGCCATCTCCCATTGAGCCAACGGACACCACCACCTGTCCCGGCTAGTCAATGTAAGTACCCAAGTATGATACCGTCGCCATGCCCTGCACACTCAATTCAACGCGCTACGACACTGGTATGTAAGACATCGATGCTCACAGTTTTCGGCGCCTTTGACAATTCTGTCAGACGGTGCCGATCACAACCTGGCCATGTATTCTGCTGGGCTGAGTCGCAGCGCGAGCACAGCGATCAGCGCTGAATTATTTCTCCATGCATTGTGCATATATCTATTGATTTCTCCTGCAATGTCGATCGGCATCATGTTTCTCGATCCACTCTCCAGAGGACCTCGGTGAGGAATCGAGGCGTGTGACGGTGCATTTCAGATCAGCACTACAGCACATTTGAACTCAGACATGCTGAAGATCGCGGCTGTGACGCTCCGCTCAGTTGCAGGACCGTAAAGACGCCACTTGTGGAGGGGAGCATGGCGCTTGAGATAGTAGCTAGGATGAGCATTAGTCTATGTGGTATGCTATGGATATCAGATACTCGACCAAAAGCTGGTGTCCAACCCGCAGCTCACAGGTGGAGTCTGAGACAGTCTACGGAGTCATGTCTCGTGGTCGTGGTCATGGTCATGTTGACTGGGGACGTCCGAGTGGACCTCCGCAGTCCGGACTCAACGAACGGAGTCAGTTGCCTGCGCCGGAGACTTAGAGTGTATCCCTGCAATCTCTCCGCTGCGGAAGACGCTCTCTCGTCAATATAGAAGCTGACTCGCCGGTCGCCATCCCTGCCAGTGGCGCGAGTAGGGGCTAGACAGTAGACACAGCAGCCTGCCCTCTCCGGCTTGCCTTCAACAGCCAGAAATTCAAGTCACGCATCGCCTGGCGCCTGGATCAGACCTAAGCCCGCTATGGCAGGTGCAAGTGTTTGCCTCGACAGTGTATCAAATAGAGGGGCGTGGACAGGGGATAAACGACCACGTCCCTAGACGGGTTTCTGCAAGGCGGCCTTGGACGATCATCGGTAGCGTTCTGTCCATGGAATTGGTGGATTGATTGATTGATTGATCAAGCGATGGAGACCGATATTGACTAGTCAGGACACCCCTGTTCTGTCACACGGCTCTAAGATGCTGCGGTCTGCAAGCTGCAGAAGGAGGACGCAATCATCCACATATGAGTTCGCTTGTCGCCGGTGGATAATCAAATGGATAAGCCATCATTCGAGAATCGGCCGATATTAAGGAGCAAGTAAGATGCTGATGCTGACAGGGGAGAGGTAGACAGACATAAGTACAGCCCCGCATGTCTCCGTGGCCATTCGTCAGATATCTTGTACAAAAAGGTAGGACGAACGAAATCTTTATTCCGTAGAGTACGGATAGAAGCCATGCTTGCGGGATCATTGCATGCATGGACCATGAAGGATGAGCATGGAATCGTGTAAATATAATAAACTACTCCTACATCAGCGACCGAGAACGAATGCGAGGAAAGCGGACGAACGAGGTCGACGGCGCAGCACACCGAGTACGGAGCAAAAAATAAATATCGATCTTGGCTTACCTGTCAATCAGTCTTGTTTGCGCTCGGTCGGCCTGCTTTGTATGGTCTTCGACGGGACAATCCTTGTCGTGGCCTACTGGCTGCTGCGAGTTATGTGGGAGAATAGGACCCATGATTAGGGTTACAAGGCACATCGGGACGAGAACGATGCAGCAGTGAGCAGACCCCGAGTACTACCATGGCGCTGCCAATCACCTCTGATTTGACACATTGGAACACGCTAACAAGGGCGCTTTCTGGACGCTGTGGACGATAAGTCAGATCAGCCATGGCAATTTACACTTTTTGCAAGAGTCGGATGTTCTTTGTCTGTCAGCACTAGACATATCCCAAACGGGAAATATGCTTATTGTAGGTGCTCCGTCAACTCCATCCAGAGGCTTTCTCATTCTTTGTCTGATTGACCCTCACATGACTCGAGCATAGATTGATTATGAGCGAGGGCTGTGCAGTGGCCACTAAGACTTCAGACTGCAGCGAGTGACGAGGTGGGGGTTTGAAAAGCCATCGACTAGATATCTACGTACCAGGATATAAGCGCCACATTCTTTTCCCCTGTCCATGTGTGAGAATGACAGACACACCGTAGTGCAGTACGGAGTATCCAGTTTGATACTCCGTAAATAAGTTGCATTACTCGCCGGAACTGAATAGTATTATTTGCTGATGTACTGCTTCTGTATGGGTAGATCAAGCACCCGACAGTGATTATTGTCTGCAGAAGAAATAGCTTATAAATTAGAAACAACAATCTAGCCTGAGGCACAAGGCCATCCTCATGTGCCCATGGAACACGGAAATGCATTGTGATGGTCACATTCCATTTCGGCAGGGCATGTCGAACAATTCTGTATTCTCTAGAGTCAGTGATAAAATGGGCTGGGCCAATACATCATACTCGAGTGCCCAGACTCAGACGGCTTTTCTTAGCGGCGATCATTCCACCATGGTCGCCATGTGTCTGTTCGTTGCTGGAAAGTCAAAACATGTGTGCAACCTAAAGCCCTCCAGAGTAAACCGAAGAATGGGCGAAAAAATGAAGGGAAAATAATAATGCTTATGCAGCAGCATTGAGAAAGAAACTGCCAAGATCTCACATTTCAATGATGCCCACTGACCAAGCCACCCGCAAGCAGCCGCACCTCAGTTGTCTGGCAGCTGGTCCCTCCCCCCGGTCGATGGTGCATCCCTCGGCGTTTTATGCCGCTGTCACCACTCACCAGTCATCACTCGTCAACGTAACTCCACAGCCTTGTCCAAACATCCATAAAAAGACGACGAGAAAAAAAAGAAGATGAAAGGCGCAGTGAAGATGTACTCCGTATTTGACAAAGTTTCCTTGGTTCTGCAAGGAGAAGGACATACGTACCATACCATTCTTCTCCAGGGCAAATACCAATGCCACCACACTTGCCACGGACTTAACTCGTGCCCCCCACTAGACCGCTTAGGGCAGTTCGCAAAGCGTGGGACCCCTGAGGGCGATCGTCCAGTGTAGCCACGTGAAAGTGCTACGGAGCACTAATTCTCTAGTCAGTATCCGTACCTCAGTCAGATCCTTGCTCTTCCACAAATAAATATTCTTTACTCCGTACTGGAAGAGAAAATACTTTGTACATAGGTACATATGATTATTGTCGAGAGTCGAGAGTCTTGATACTGATCCTAACCTGCACAAACGGTTAAATGTACGCCGACGCAATTTATCCTGGATTATGCAGAAATAGAGTCGCTCAGGGTATGGCGATTTCTATGATGCATTGACTCAGCTTCATGATGTAATCGCGGTCGCAAAGCACATGCAATCTATGTAGATTGAATCCTCCAGAACACTCTTCGAAGAGATTCGATAGCCTGCTGAAAGGATAAAAAAAAAATCAAATCCTCCACAACGTGCTGTCACCCCCCTTCCATGGCGGCTGATTGCCGAAATTCTTCAAGGCCATGGGACTTCGCCATTTCGCAGGTTCTATTGTAGGTAGGTACCTAGGTTAGGTTGCATTGATGCATTCGATTGTCTTGATTGGTTGATCCAGAATGGACTGCCAGTGCCAGTGCAGTCTTTCCATTGATGGGCCCCACTTCCCGGTCGGCTAAGCTGAGTTGGGATATTGCTGACCTTGACTGGACGGAAAGACTCCTCAATCCTCAGTCCTCACTTGCTTGTGTCGTGCTTTATCTAGACTCTAGCTAAACTTTTCCGTTCTATGGATCTCGGATTTCAGATCCCTCATGCTCTCGAGACTCCAATGTATCTGGTGATGACAGTTGCTTAGGTTGAATTTCGGAGTTCATCATATTTTATTTCTTGAACCTTGAAGTCAAGGCAGTTGATGTTCCAATTGTTACTGTTCTCATGAATTTGGCTCAATTGTTGACCTGGAGACTTTAAATAGAGCTTCCATCCGCTGTTCCCCGTCGTCACCGAATCCCTCAGAGATGGAGGTGGGGCAAGTCAACCAGCACCCAAACCATGGATGCAGGGCTGCAAGGTAGGTCCGGTAAGATCGACGTGAGAATTGCCTAAGACAGCCTGTACAATTGCCCAAGTCAGGCAAGCTCCAGTTGATGGTTTGCGAACGATCATGACAATTTCTAGTTGACTGATCAGTAGTCATGATTTTGATGCAACAGCGATTCTGATACCAGAAACGGGGCTTTGCTATCTACGCAGACTACAGGTAATTGCAGGTAACTAAATAGATCATGATAGGAATTCGTTGGTCTTATTGATCTATGCATTGCTCAATACAGAAAGGAATGACACCACCAGCTGGCATCTTCTGAATTTTCAGAGCATTGCTTAATCACCTAAGATAACCACCTAGGATCTAGACAGGGCTAGCCGGGATTTGTCCCTGACATTCGATCAACGCACCTCATTTGAACGCCAATATTTGGTCATCGCATCTCCAGCCCAGCTCAACGAAAATCATACCTATCATTATTCATCAGAAACAGCAGAAACCCAAAGGCTGATTGTGATTGCCAACCCCAGCAGAGGTGGTTACCTCGTGGCGGTGGGTTCCTCGTTGCTCGCAGGACTAGTGCACATCTATTGCTTGGCTGGTCCCAGGAAACTTTCTGATTCTCATTAACAGAGCCAAGATGGACTCTATCTTCATTGAG